AGGACAGAGCCGATCGTGCAACTGTCGAACAGGTATCACTTTCATGCAGTTATTGATGTTCTGTTGTTCATTGTAATCGATGTGTACCATCAGCAATATCTATGAAATCATCGATAAAACAGGAAAAACTTGACTGCGATAATATTTGGGGAAGCCTGTCACTTTGTAGTTCCCCACTGTGTTTTGTTTCCCCTTTAAAGTACCCGAAAATTCTGCATTGTGCTATTTTGTTGCCCGAATCTCTTGGAGATACAGGGAGACCGTTTTCATATAGACTTCGAGGTTCAGATTTTTTTTTCTATATAGGGAGGGTGTACAAAGCGGATAATTAAAGCGGTTTCAGCGTCGGCTCAGCTTTAGGCGTGGGGAGGGCAGGAAGGCACTAGTGAGAGCATCGTGAATAAAATGGGAGTGAGATTGCTGCTGAGGCTTAGGAGGAAAAAAACAGGTGCAGTGTTGAACTAATCTGAACAAAATGTTTTTTCGAAGTGAACACTTCCTTGTCTCACAGGGGTTCACTTGAGTTTGCTAAAGGTCTCCTCCGCCCCCCTGCCTCGAGTTACGTCGTTTTTTGAACTAGTTTCTCAGCAGAAATGCGGTATTTTATTGCAGATGATGTTCCGAGGAAGTTTTTACTCTTCATAAAAATCAGTTTTTACTCTTCATAAAAATCACCACTCCTTTTGCAGTAACCTTCGGACCTTCGCACTGTGCCTTCCTAGACCCCTGCTCGTGTTGAAAAGTGGAGTCAGGTCATGTTGAGATGACCTTTGGGAATAGTTTTTTTGAACTGAGTTGTGGAATTACCGGTAATGAGGTATACATTACCAATGTTCCTTACGAAGCCATCGGTAACGTTAGTATCGTGACCAAGGCCACCTGACGTGTGCCTAAGCGCGAAGTCACATGGGGATCGGATAATGTTCGAGTTATACCCGCTTGCGCGAGCGATGCTGCACTGATGTGCGTTGTTTCTTGTTCAGGCATTTTTGGCGCTGTTGTGCTTTTTTGGGGCATTTTGCACATTCGGTAGTTCCTTTTGTTGGCTCCTTTGTCAACTTACAGTTCTGCTTTTGGTCACACTGGAAAATTCTTGTGAAGCTGCAAAATTCTGCCACTGAGCCACTTCCGTCTCAAGAATTCACAGATTTTAACAAGGTAGCCTGCTGAACAGCAGCTGAGTACCATTCGGTGCCTCTCCCCCCAAACCAAGCTGCGGCGGCATTTTTAACTGTGTTCCATAATTGTCAAAACATTTATGGGTGCTCGAAGAATGTATTGGGTTCCGTGAATAATGGCGATTTTTTTTTCTCACGCAAATTTTTATATGGAAAATGGTAACTTTTCTCAATGTGTTCTTCACCATTTGATAGATAATTTTCTACTCTATAAGACAGTGTCGTTGCCTTCCTAATGTTTCTTGATTTTGTCAGTTTTTATTCCATTGAAATGGAAAGTCGGGTCGACACAAAAGTAAGTTTTCGACAACGACTTTTTGCACTTTTTCTCGGTTCTCAAATCAAGTTCGAAGCTCGAAACTTGTGCTGTATAAGACCAAGAGATGTCTCTTAAGACAGTTTTAGGTTGGTTCAAGCGATCAAGAGTTGGGTTTTCGGACCTTGTAAATGTGCTATGCATGGGGGGTCCTGGTCTTGGGGAGCGACGGCATGCAGAACTTGCCCTCAAATTTTCTAGTTGATGAGTGGGGGTGGTGGTTGATGATGATAAGGAACCATTCCATGACCTCTACGATTCTCCATCCTTGGTATGAATCTCCATGAATAAGGCTATTCAGTAAGTTCTCTATTGGACTCAATAGGAAATTACGTTTGATGTTTGTCTGTGGGGTCGATATTGAATTCTTCGAATCACCTAAACTATTGTGAGCATTTCTAAGAGACATAGCCTTTTGCCATATACTTAGCAACTGGGCCTGTGCGGTTTTAGCTTTTCAATTAGAAGTAAAAAGAGAGGCTGTCGAAAATGCTCAATTTCGTCGACCTGACACTCCAGTTTGAGCACTTAAATATTAGTGGAAACAGAAAATTCAAGAAAACTAAGAAACTGTCGTGCAGGGCAAGGAATTCTCTACAAAACAGTGTAAAAGCCATTGACAAAAGTTTGCATCTTTAGTGCGATATTTCGAGTGAGAAAAAAACGCCATTACTTATGGGCCGACCCAATATGTCACGAATTGTAATCTTACTTGGTTGCTCCCTTTACTGACTGGTCCCCGAAAAACAAAGTGGTGCGGTGATACGCGCACTATGGCGGCCGGTCTCGGCTTGAGACCCAAAAGACACGTTTGTATAAAAATCCCAGCGCTGATAGCTCATGATGTCTTAGCTTGATAAGTTTTTGAACCCAGGTTGCAAAATCTTTTCCCACAGGTTTCTTAAGAGGGCACTTCGTGAAGAATCTCCGTTGGGGTTGGTCTCCGGTCGCTGGAGGGTGAGGGGTCCTACGTGTCCTGAAAAAAAATTTCATAGTTGATTCTTCCTAATTCATGCCCTAGGCAACCACGCTGTATTTCAAATTAGTGGTCGTTTGGTGGTGACCACCCCCACCTCCCCCTCTTCCTCGACGGCAGTTCTTTGGGCAAAAAGCTGCAAAGTTTTTGGGAAATTGGAAGGAAGTGGTAATAGGATGTTGGGACAAGTCAATAAGGTAGTAGGTAGGATGAGGAAGAAGATGGAGGGGTCGCACACTACTTGGAAATTCGAGGAGGGTCGTATAAAAATCCAAAGCGACGGGAACCCTGTTTCTCAATTACCCTTTTGTCCAATGTAGACTGTCACCATCAGTGGTTATTTTCCTTTTAATGGGAACTGGCTGCGGCTGTGGTGTTGATGGGAAAAAGAGCAAGCGATGAAAAGGGAATCTTTTTATTCTGCAACGAGAGCTAATTTCTAGCAAGCGAGGCTGCACTATCACACTGGGTGTGACAGTTTTCATCCAAGATTTAGTCCGCCTTTTGGACCTTTTCATGAACACTGGTACCTTTGCATACTAGTTTATATTCGGTCGTTGTTGGATTCGTAATATGTGATAATGGTGGCAGACGCTAATAATCGTTGGAGGGGGTGGTGTGGGGGAGGCATTCAAGGGAACCGTTGTGCAAGAATGGGACTTAGGCCTTTCAGGGCAGTACGGGGCTAGTGCTGTTTGGACCCAGAAATTTTGTCAGCGAGCTCATTTATGAAGTGTCAAGATCACAAAATCTGCTGGAAACTTGTACATAGGGGTAATTCAACATCCCGATTACGGATATGACATTCATTGTCTTCGCTGGCACTAATGGAGGACACTACGATTATCTGCGCTCTGCTATGGCGGAGCCCAGAAGATAATCGTAGTGTTCCTCCATTAGCGCCACCGCTAAGAATGACTGTCATTTTCGCAGTCAGGATGTTGATATACTCTGTATACAAGTTTTTAGCGGATTTGGTGAACTTAACACTTCGTAAATGAGCTCGCTGCCAAAAGTGAGTGCATCTGAACGGCATTAGCCGCAGTACTGCCTTCGTGTTGATTCACCATTTCGGAACTTTCTTCCTTCGGGCTTTGAGGAAGTCCTCTTCGTTACGAGAAATCCCAGCTCCCCGCATGTAGTACGAGTGCCCCAACCTCCTCCCCCTCACTCCCGTTGGGCTTATTGGCTGTCTGATGGTGGTATTGAGCCTACTTGGGTGGTAGATTGCGGGAGCAGTAGAGAAGTCATTCAGCTCATGTTGAGGTTGCCATGTTTGGGATGTTTTGCGCAGAGGGTCGCTTGATGCGATAGTCATCGGGTTGAACATGTTGCCCCCTCTCAAGCAGTGCAGATTTTTTTCTGCACCTGACGCTGCTCCCTATTGGCAGATGGTAAAAGTTTTTCTTGCGCTGTCATCTTGACTGCCAGTCATTTGCTCCGCCCCGATATCAGTGACATCACCACTTCTCAGCTCTTTTTGTATATGGTTATAATTATATCATTTCCTTGGTTATCCATCCACTAAATCTTTAAGCAGTGCAAAAGCTAAATACGCTTCGCTCTGTTTGCTCTTTTCTAGGAGTGGCGAACAAGTTTCCCCAGCTTTGCTTTTTTGTTGACCTTTAGCGAGTGCCCATGTGCATTGATTTTCAAAGTGCGCTTCAAGTGTGGCCCTTGCCCAGACGCAAGTGAGCTGGAGTCGGGCTTTGCAGAATAAGAAACTGGGACTGTGTGCTGCAGTAGTGGTTGAAAATGAGTGCAATACTACGCTTGCGTTGTTCTCCATTTTGTGAACAAGGGAGAGAACCCGTCGCCCCTAACTCTGAGCTTCTGTCCGTATGTGTTAGTGGCTGGTAATTATGTTTCCAGGGGAACTAGTAAAGTATGCAGAGAATCCGAAAAGTTGCTAATGAAAGTGGAAGGAAAGGAAGCGGCGATATTATCTTTTAAAGCGATGCTGTGCCAAGTGAAATGCGGCGCTAGTCGACTGCTGAGAGGGGAGTGGCCTTTTTTGTAAACACCTGTAAAACTGGGAATGGTAGCAGTTTTTTGGGCGCATTCCATCGATAAATGCAAATGGCTTCTGCAGAGACCTCTCAATTCCGGAGAAGCTATGCTCGACGGCCTACAGGTGAGATGTACAATTCAACAGGAAACTAGCAACATGCGAAATGCTCCCCACCCTAAGGCAAATAGTGCCTGCATTTCGTTCCCTGTGTACGGGCGATCACTGCACTCTTGACACATTGCACTCCAACGTGCATTTGTTTCAATGCACATTTTTAACTTTGTTTCGCACTTTTTGATACTGATTCCGATGACATTTTGTTGGTTAATTTCTTCCCGGGTAATCGCAACTACCCAGTTTGTTTCTTATCAGGATGTGCTGGTTAATGTTCATTGATAATGCATTTTTATGGCTAAAAATAAGCTGATTTGGTCTTTCTTTAACTTTCGGTGTTTGAGGTATTAAAACTAGCGACCACCAATGGTGAACAAGTTTGGTAAACAATGGGCCACTTTTCACGAGACCTTTTCACAGCAAAAAAGTTTGTTCACTTTCCCGGAGCTCCTTCCGCTTGAGTTTGCGAAAAATCTCAATCTCTGGTTTACAATCAGGGCACATCGTTGTTGGGGAATCCCCAGTAGGGGGGGTCGTATTTGGCCGCCAGGAGAGGGGGTTCGTATTTGGGCTGGGAAAATTTTATTTTGATAGCACGGGTGCAGCACGAGTGCAATTGTCTCAGATGGAGATATCCCACGAACAACATAGCCAGCCGTCTTCAAGGGAAGAACGCAGCACCGCCCTCCGCAACCCTGGGATATGTACTTTAAGGCTTCACAGATTGCTGACAAAAGGTCCACAAAATGTCTCCGTAGCCGACTAGCTAACTGAATTGGCCGAAATAGTGTCCCTGGAGCCGCGGGATCGGTGCAAATGCAAAAATCTTTGAAAACTTTCAAAAAACCTCCTGCTAATATGATTTCTTCAGTGGTGCCCTCCAGTTCTAATAGTCGTAGGCTGTAACTGTATTAAGGGTTTGCCCTCATAGAAGTCTGTTGTAGGTTCTTGATCCTCGGACTAGACTCGTATTGTTCCGACTTCTACAACGTGGAACCTTGACCAATATCCATGGATGCATTTCCACAGGCAAGGAGGCCAATGTCTACCACGCTACCGATGAGAAAGGCTCTTTGGCTGTGAAGATCTACAAAACGAGCATTCTCACCTTCAAGGATCGCGAGCGCTATGTCGCTGGTGAGTACAGGTAAGTTTTTATGGCTAGGAATCACTTCTACCGCTTCGTGTATTGCTGCCTCAGTAGAATCTTGTGTTGACTCTTCGCAGATATCGAACTGGCTACTGCAAACACAATCCTCGGAAAATGGTTGCCGTTTGGGCAGAAAAGGAAATGAGAAATTTGCTACGAATGCATCAAGCCGGTCTTCCTGTCCCGAAACCCATCTTACTTAAGGTTTTCTTGTTGTTTGCGCTAGATATTCTAACCTCTGTGCGACTGCAAAGTTATAGGTGTATTTAGGGTCACGTGCTTGTGATGGAGTTCATTGGTCGTGATGGCTGGGGTGCTCCACTTTTGAAAAATGCCACTTTGTCACACGAGGTAAGCAGAATTCTATTTGTGTTTTGACTCATGCTCCCATCTCATAATCCCGTGATGAACTAAGGTCCTCATCTTCGGAGCGGTCTACTTTTCTCAGTTGCTCGCTCGAATTTTTCTGCCTAGGTTTAAGTCCTGACATTTGGGGTAATGAAAGGCTAATTTGACTGTGCTGTACTTTACGAACCTTTCATCGGTGCAGTTCGTCTTGGTGGGGAATTTTGATGGTTTTTATCTATCACTGCTGATGCCTCCTGCGGAGACCTGCGAACGTCTCTAAGGCTATGCAATAGCAGAAGCTTGGCAAGAGTCTTCAGGTCTCGCCAACTAGCAAAAGGGGCCAGCGAATGTGCAAAATGCCAATGCGAACCCGAGTAGTGGCCTTTTATTTTGTCATTCAGGAATCCCGTCACCTGCATCACCGGTGCTCCCGTTGATCACCGAGTTGCTCGAGAGGGCGTCAATAACGCCGGGGAAAGTGTTTTGACGGTCATATAATATGTCCACGCAGTGAGAGAATGGGCGACTGAAGGATGGCGTCTTTTGTTTGTCGTGCTAACGATACTAATCGGTATTGTCCAATCTCTTCGTGAACCTCGGCATTGTTGTTACATTTGATAAATTCTTCTGTGCACACGAGATTGGTAGGTGGATTTTATATCGGCCTTACGTTTCGACCAGATCATCTTCATCAGAGGCCCACTTCACCACAGCGAGAGCGGAAGTAGCCGCTCAGTTCATGATCTAGTCGAAAGGTCAGGCCATAATAAAAGTTCCACCCACAACCTCGTGTGCACCCACAACCTCGGTGCGCAGAAGAATTTATTAAATGTACCAATCGGTATTTTTCGCCCTGACTGTCA